CTGCTGACATCCCAGCTGCCCCCTCTGTCATGCATCTGACATCTCTTCTCATTTTTTAATAGAAAAGCAGGAAGAAATATTCATGCATTAATACATGCTAATATATCTCCTTCTCCTATTAGTCTGGGTTACTTTTTGTTCATCTCCCAGTACAGTACAATGAAACTTAACACTCTAAGGCCCCTCCAATGACAAAAAAAAAGGACTGGGGGCAGTCTCTCTCTGAGTAGACTGCCTCTTTGGGTACCTCGCTGTTTAAAGATGACCCAGGAATACCTCAGGTGGAGTAATGTGACCCAATTTTTTCTTACTAGTGTGCATCAGTTATTCTTAATTTATGTTCATTAGTTTCACTTAGTACTGTGAAGCAACACTATGACCATCAACTGGCTGAAACACGATAATGTTTTTAATAGTTATGGAGATGTTTAGACGTAATTGAGTTCAATCAGAGGACTCTCACATGTAGTCTAAAGGCCTTTAATCAGTAGCAACACTTTTATGAGAAAAAGAGAAAAGGTTGGAAATATTCATGTCTATGAGTAGCCTCCAAATTATCTTCCAGGCTTGCTCAGTGAAATTAAAAGAGAACCCAGAAGAGGTCTTATTGCTTGAACTCTAACTGCTCAAACAACATACTAAAAATTACGGGGGTTAGCATGATCTGAAACGTGAGTAGTTGTATTTTGTTGGGTGTTTGACTCGTACAGCCTCTTTTAAGTCCCAAATACAAGAACAGTTAAATAAAAGGTTAATTAGAAATTGCTTCTAAACACTTAAGGGAGTGTCAAGAAAAAAGACATTTAAATAAAAACAATCCTAAAGATCATGTCAAAATTGCTCTACCTCGGAAAGAAAGTAATAAAAACCAAGGAGCTAAAATATAACTGCAGATGCCATGGTAAAGAACTAGAAAATGTGAACAGATGAAACATCCCTAGGAGTCTTCAAAGCATCTTGGGTCATGTCTCACATTGATGTATAGAAAAGTTGTACTGCTTAGCTGTAACCTAGGAATGGGTTTGTGCATCACTATAAATAAATCAGGATTTCAATAATAAATCATGTTAGGACTCCCCACTTTCTTCTACTTGGAGGTAAGAAATAAAGCACCTTAAAATATTAACAAAAAATAAAGAAAGAAAGAAAGAAAGAGAAAAGCACCTCGTAAGACAGTACGAGAGAGAGATGCATTGGTGTCATTCTGAAAAGTGAATAACATCACAGCAGTTAATTGCTCACTATTTGGTATTATCTTCTAAAATTGTCTAGAACTTGTTCTGCAACTGAACAAATTGTTAATTTTGAAGCATTTTCACTACCTGTAGCTCTGGAATAACAGTTCCTCTTTCGGGACAGGACCCTCCAAATGCTGTCAGGGGTGACGGGAGTACAATTGGATTTGGACTGATAAAACTACTGATGTCACAAGATGGTGTGTCCGATTCTGTTCTTTGCATTACAACTTTGTCTACGATGATAAATCTATTCCAAGGCAACCAAAGTGTCCTTTTTTCAGATATGAAAGGTGATCTGTCAAACACTAGAGTGACAGAGATGCCTCCAACAGCCACAAGGTCAAAACTGGAAAAGAGAAAACAAAATGCTTTGTTTCTTTTCGTTTTATGATCATATTGCCACAACTTTCAATGCCTCACAAACAAAAACTTTATGTTGCTCATTACAGCCCTTAATTTACTATGTGAAATTATTCAAGTATACCTTCCTGGCGTCACCTTGGTATTCATGAAGAAGCTTTACTTCTCTGTGCTATGCATCGATAGCAAGGTACAGTACTTCACTGTTACTTGGCCTATCTCCCCTCCGTTTATCAACTAGAATTGATACTAATGAGTCATCTGTAACAAGAGTGTTGGCCCAGTTACTTTGCTTTATATGAAAAGAAATTCCTAGCCCAGAAAAGGGATGCTACTCATAATGTATGCAGGTACAGCATGCAGAATAAGAAGTCTTAAAGCTGTTAGACCTTTTTTCTACTACCATATCCTTATCCCTTTTTCTAAAAATAGTAGGAGGAAATGGTTGAGTACACCGAGCAGGAGACCCCTCTGTGCAGGATATGAAATTTTTGGGAAAGATGCCAATTAATCGCACTGAGAACTGAATCAGCCTTGTACATAAGGCAGGTGATCCTCTGGGAGCTATTGTGAAGAACTGTGGCATATCTGGGCTGCAAAACAGTGGGACAGAGAAGGCACAATGTACAGAGTCTCAATTTCCTGAGTTTCTGACATCCATAGTCAGGCGACACAAGGTAATATGTAAATAGGTACTTCACTCTCTGTATTATTGAATGCATCTATTATGGAGGCTTTTGATGGTAACAAACTGTGATAAGAAGTCAGACTTAATTATGCATATCTCATCACATTTCCCAAATGACACCGATTACATTCACAGTGAAATACAGGTAGCATATTTTAATGCAACAACTTTATCCAGGCTAGTGTAAAGAGGAAATGATAATTGCTAACTTTCAGTAGTGCGATTTGAAAGTCAATAAACTAAGGTAAAATAAATATGCATGCTCCTTACTTTTAAAAATTGACAAAGCCAAACAAAAATAATTGTGGAAACAGTTTTCCCTCTTGGAAGATAGCTTCTGATTTCTCGTCATTCACAACACAGCCAAGGAACATGAAGTCTTAAACTTAGCAGCTTAATTCAAGTTCAGGAGCAAATCACGACCCTATTGTAAATGGACGGCCAACCCTGGAGTGCAGTATAGGATATATAGGAACTTCATCTCTCTTCGAGAACTGAACTCAGCTCTACAAGGCTGGGGAAGAGAGGGAAGCCAGCATTGTTCAGAACTGGTTGTGGAACTGCAATTTAACCATTTTGGCTCTGGAAAGAGTTTGCCCTCACTTTTACTTGTGTGGCTCAGGTGATCAACTGAAGGAGTTAACCTCACTGACACCTCAATAAACTACTTGGAAGATTCACTGTTAACAACAGAAACAAAAAAGGGAAGACAGGGAATTCTCTGGTACACCTGACTAGTGAAAATATTCAAATGTCAATAAGGTGCTATTACAGCAGTACTGTCACATTTTGACTTCAGGTGTTTGAGTGCCACTGTAATCTTGTTGCTGTTCAGGTTTTTAATTCTTCTCTTTCTTCTTTGGTCCCTTTACCACAGACAGCTCTAACTAAATGTGCTCCCAGAGCAGAGGGCCAGATGCCATCCTCATTCCACACTACAAACAGTGATGCCTATGAAAATTTTGTACGTGAATAGAAGGTGGTAGATGGCCCTAACTATGCAAATCTAAACCAGTGAAAGACCATACATGAAAGTCTGACCTTCCATCTTGTCGACTGATGGTGTATCCATACTCATTGTGGTGCAGAAAACTGACGTTCACTCCAACCAAAGGTGTTCCGTCTATTGCTACCACCTGGCCTCGAATGACACACGCCCGTCTGTAACAAAAAGAGTAGAAGGCAACATGTTAGACACATTGGGAGGGTGAGAAGGGCATTGATTTCAGAAACTGTGCTATACTTCTGTTCCAGACACACAGAACTACTCTGATATCATTGTGACTGCTGATTTTGAATGAAAATTCAAACAAGTCCAAAAGATTGATTTGAAAAACCATTATCTCATGAAGATGACACACAGAGTCTCCATGGTGTATCGAGAATATATTTCCATTTCCGGCTGTCTTTCAGGATACCATTTGTTCTGCCATTGAATAGCACTGCAAAGGTTTCACTGATAGCATGATTTAGCTTGCTGCAGCTCTAGGGGGTGATGATTTGTGAAAGAGGAGAATGAAACCTCATTCTCTGCTGCTAAGAATAGGGCGCTGCTGTCTATTAGAAAAAAGCTGAACTAATGTGATAAGGCAGCAGTGAGACACATGGTCTTCGCTGAACTTCAGAAAGTTATATAGGTAAATTCAGAGAGCACCTAATCAAGTGTAACATACATTTTTCTCAATCCCCCATCGCATGTTATGCCCTTTTAAATTCCCTCTGGGATGTGTTGCACTTGCACGCACTTTCCAGCATAAAAATCTTCCCATTCCAGTAAAGAGGCTGGAATATGGCAGCACAGCAGAACGTATCAAAGTCAACGGACAGGAAAGTGAACTAATTACTAAGTGGGTCTAATCGGAGGCTAACAGGATCACAGAATCATAGAAAATGAGAGCCGAAAGGAAATACAAGACTTTATCTTGTCCATTCCTTTGCCTCAGGTAAGATCAACTATACCTACATTACTCCAGACAGATGCTTGTCTAACTCTATAACCTCAACAAGTAGCTCATTCCAATGCTTCTTGTATGAGTGCTTTACTCACGGCAAGTTTTTCCTACTGTGCAATTTGAATCTCCACTGCTGCTCTTTAAGACCATTACTTTCCCTAGCCACAGAAATGGTGACGAAATTACTCTCTTTTTCTTAGCTTTAGCCTTTTATGTATTTGAAAAATGAAACATAAAGGAGACAAGTCTCATCAAGGATGAGGAATAAGATACAAAATACCCTCACGGTGTAGATTAGGACCTAGTGGGATTTTCTCAGGGCTTACACAGCTACATTCCACTGAAACACCTTTCAGTATTTTGCCCCGTGCCGTCAGGTACGCTACGTTAGCATACCTCCACTGGCTGAATGGATCCAGGTCTTGGGATCTAAGGATACAATTGCACGTATTTCCTAGAACTGTCATTTCACATAACGAAGTGAACAGCGTATGCAGAAGTCTTTTGATAACATTAAGACATTTAGGGTCAAACCCAACAGAATACTTACAGAGGTAACCAGCACTAATTACTCAATATAAACAATAAGCATAAATTTAGACATTGTTATGTTTCTCTCTCAATATGAAAGTTCATGGTAGACCTCAATAGACACATCCTACCTTTGCACAGTGAATATGGAATCTAAAGGAAAAACTTAATAGGTCCTCAGATGAAAGTTATTTAGGAGTCTATATATGAATTTAAAAAATATCCCTTGAGAGATTAATTGATCATGATCCAATGAAATCATATACACAAATTGGAGACCATAAATTTCTGAAAATTCTGACTTGTTTCATAAGATCCCATTCTCCAAAGACACTCGACAGGACACTAATTTATCACTATGATATCATCAAACTCAGCTGACTATGACCTGAGAAAATGCAACTGGTAAAAATTAACCCCTTTGCCATTCACCACAGTCGCTAATATGAATTCCATGCTCCCAGGACATAGAAAGATGCTGAATTTCAGCAAAGATACTGATAAATCCCAGAGGAATGGGAAAGGCTGCATTACTGCCAGTATGCAAAACAGAGCTCTGATTTATTACCTTTTCATTTTCTACGTTAACTAAGTTGGTTGTGGCCCTATTTGCGGGCAAAACCTGCTGCTCCACTGAAGGCGATCAAGCTCTTGTGTGTCTCAACAGACTCACAAGACTCACTCAACAGAACAGTCGGGTTCAATTACTCTTTGATTTGTTAGAGCAGAACCTACTGGTTTCTATTGTTTTCTCATATTTCTAACATCAACAGACCTGCCTTTCCTTTTCTAATCCCTTTATTAATGCACTCCATATATTTACAACACACATTGATCTAAGAGAGAGACCCCTAAGAGTCATCGTTATTCAGTACATTATTCTCGTACTCCTGTTTGTTCATTCCACACAGACCTGTCTTCTGACTCTACTCTGTCCTCGTATTTTATCAAGCACAGATTTGTGCGATAACAACTCATCGCAGTCTTCATTATTTCATACATAGTCTTTCTTTCCTCTACTCATTCACTTTACTTCTCATTATTCATAAATAATATTAAAAGACTTATCTTTCAACTCTCTTGCTCCTTTTTTATTCGTCATATTTTACAAGCCACACACATTTACAGTATGTGATAAAGACTCATAAACCTCGTTATTCTACATTTATCTGTATTGAACTGTCTTTGCAATCTTTTAGATTTTAAATGTTCTAAGCCTGCCTGTGTGTTGCTACATTTGTCCTCATTATTTACTGTCTTTTTATTACCTACTCTATGTTGAAGAGTCTTCTACTCTCTGGCCTCTTCTTGAATTACCAGCACCTACTAAATCTCTGACTAAGTGTTTGATCAGAATTAGTTTTAATTTTTGCATTTACTGCAGGCATGAAAACATTTTTCAGTTACTTTATGACCAGCACTAATCTCAAAGGCTCAGGGAGGTAACAAACAATCCTCCACTTTGCATGAGGTTCTCCTGCTTTTCCCAATGCCCTGACAGCTCAGAAAGCAGACCACCGTGCCCGGAGGCATGCTGGCATGCCGGTTCCCTGCAGCTTTGCTGCTTGCAGAAGACCTCACTTAATTCCTTTCCTTACCAGAGCTTTTAGAGCATGTTCCCTGCAGCGATGTCACTTCATCCTCAGCTGCCACTTCACGCTTCCTTGCTTCAACATTCACCCTCTTCCCAGATGAGCTGTGGACCTTGCTACCACTCACTGCTTTTCTTAATTTTAACAGAGAAACCTCTAAAGATCATTATGCCTCCTCAATCTGCTGTACATCCCTCTTCTATTCTCAGCCTCTAAGATTTATTCTACACTCTTGTGACTGGCCTGCTTTTCTTTCTCACGGGGGATAACAACTCATACTACCTGTCCAACAGTCGCCTACTAGCAACGATTGCATAATCTTGGGCTAAGGCCGTCCAAGTTGTTTTAACTTGAAAGCAAGTGCAAAAATGTCTTTTCTAATTTGGAGAAGCTGGGAAGGAACATGTCCCTGATAAGCTGCCTTAGTGTTTTCAAATGCATTAAAAATGTTTCTAGTCCCCTGGCAAGCTGTACTAAATCTGCAATTCCAGAGGGAGCAGTTGGCTTTTTGAGAAAAGGCAGACATTCCCATGGGTTGCAGGTGGCCTAAAAGAAGTAGGATTTCTCTGTCAGTGCTTCATGGGTCATTCCACGTGTAACTGAGGATCTCAGCTCCGTGGGTCTCAGCTCTCTGCCGTCAGGCAGTTTGCTTGACATCTCTAATTTAAAATATAAATAGAAGCTTAAAATTCTAGATGCATTCTTTCACTACTTGTAAAGCATTTTATTATTCCACCACCATTCTGCCTTGCTCTACTGCTACTTATCTGCCATTTTTTTGCTTTTGTTTTGTGTGTTAAGTTGCCAATATTCTCTGAGTACCTCAGGCTGAGACATTAGGCTCAGATGTGGAACTCTGTCAAGCAACTTGTGAATTCGCAAGTGTCACATTACCAGAAGATGTCATTTACTGTATTGCATTTCTGATTAAAATCTTCAATCAGAGAAATTAAGCTAAAGGCTAGTAA